TTTGGAGCTCATCAGTGAAAATATTTTTATTATTTTTCATTTTTTTTATTATTGGTTATAATGGTCGTTTTAAAGCATGAGAAAGTAAGTTTAAAGTTGGTTAGCCACTTTGGTGGTATCGTGTGGCATCCTACATAGGTCGACTGTGTGTCATACCGATCTAAGGTGTTACAATTTGCATCCATGATGATCATATTGTAGATATTTCTTATTCGTATACAAGCCATCTAGAAAAAAATTAAAAAATGGTAGGATGTCATTACTGATACTTGTAACTTTTCTTTGTTAATTGATGCCCACTCAACTCCTTGCTTCACTTGCTCTTCGTTACCTATGCGTGAAAATCATCACACGCTAAGTATACACTTAGTGAGGCATCATAAACAAACTAAATGATATAAAATATTAAAACAACTTAACAACATTTAAATTATATATAAGCTTATATAAAACCTAAAAATATCATAACAATTTAAACATTTAACTTAAATTCAAATAAAATCATTAAATAGCCAAACTGATTTATTTAAGTCGTTTTCCCCATCAGGAACTTGAAAATCACCATCTCATGATTTTATCAAAACCATGATAAACAATATCATTTATAATAATCATATCATATTCTTTTTTCATTCGTAAACATTTCAGAAGTAATTTATTTTCATCTTTCACTTGCGTATTCCTTTTCACATTTCATTTAATAACCATTACTTTAGTATTTCAGAATTCATTCTCAAATTCAGAACTTACTTATCTGTTCATAACATACTTTTAAATTTGTAGATTAATTTCAGATTCATAACTCATTTTCAATTTCATAATTTACTTTCAAGTTCACAACCCAATGCATATTTATGAGAATGCAAAGTACGTGAGTCATACATAATGTGCACACTAGGCACTTCAGTGACAATCATCAACATCATAAGATGCACTCTGAGTGTAAATCATATCATATGCACCAACAGTGCCATGCTTAATGTACATAAATGTACCATAACTTAACTTAACTTGAATTTTACTCAAGTTCCTGGCATGTCAAGTGTACCTATGACTCTCAATGCAACATACAATGAGCTTTTCCATTCATTATCATGTTATTGAATTTTCAAAGATATCAATATATCGACATATCCAACTTTTTATATCATAACATAATGGGCAGTTCATACCCTAAACATTTCATTTCAACATAACATATATAGATCATGGTCATCATCAAATACCTTTCTTGAACATATACACAACATATTCATCATGTAATAAATATCCTAACCATCATGATAATTATAATAAAGTTGTCTCATTTTGAACATTTATAATAGTATATAACAAAAGAATAACATGAAAACACAATTTATGACATTCCATATACTAACAGTTTGCATTATCTTCAAAAAAACATTATTTTGTATTAATATACACACTTACAAATTATTACGTTTATACCACTAGAAACTAGACTCGAATACAAATCTAATCATATAAGGAAATTTTTCTAGTTCAACTTGTACAATTATAGTAAATTTTCAAATCTGACTTATATAAGCGATTTTGAGCAAAATCTGCTGCCCTATTTTCTTACCTATCTTCGGTTAAAAATTCATATATTTTTGTATACTTTCCACAATCATTAGCTATTTGTTCTAAATGAAACTATACTGATATAAGAATCCAACGATATAAAAATAATCCTCTAATAATATCTATGAAATTTTTGGTGATTGTCTAAACTTGTGTGTTCAGAACACAAATCTAACAAATCTAGGAAGATTTCACAAATTTGCCTTTTCAACTATTTCACTAATTCTATTAGCTCACCAAATGTGCATATATGCATAAATCACAAAATCACACAACACCAGGAGTCACTTCTTACCATAGTAGTTCCATCATTGGCTCATCGCAAGTCAGTGCTTGTTTGATATCATAAATACAAATTAAATATGCACTCACCTGATGTCCTTAGCTTGTAAACCTTCCTTAGAAATTCACATTTCATCCTTAAGCTTCTCCTTAACTTTAATAATGTTTGATCTTGATTTCAAGCACACAATCTAAATGAGCATCATTACAAAACATATACAAATTCAAACCACACGTTAGAATCTTACTAACATAGGCACATAATAGAAAATAAATTCTTTAAAATCTTTCGAGGCTCAATCGATACTAATTTCATATCACAACTTCAATGTTGACCTTAACACTTCAAATTGAATATCAAGTTCCTTTTTATCCAATTTCATCAAAACTTTACATACCATTTTCAACTTTACACTTTAACAACTAATTATGAATTCTTTTAGAATTCATACCTACTTTTCTGATTTATGTAAAATGACCCTTCACCATTTTACCCAATCAAATTTCAATATTAAAATTCCAGCATTGAAATAACTACCAACTTAGTCCATTTAAAATTTCAAAATCATCTTAAAACCCCCAAACTTTTAAAATTTTCCATATTAGTCACCTAACTTACCAAGCTTCCAAAATGATCAAATTTCACATTCTAACTTAAATTTCAACACTCAAAAACTAATTTCCAGCATAGTACATCAACTATTGAACAATTACACAACATCCTCATAACTTTTCAAAATTTCCAAATAGGTCCCGCAACTTTCACAAAATTACAAAATGATCCCAAAATTATGTAAGGGTTGGAAATGATGTACAAATGATTCTACAAGCCTTAGAAAAATTTTGGAAACATTTTGTAATTTTTTGAAAGTTGCGGGACCTCATAACTTTTTAAAATTTCCAAATAGGTCCCACAACTTTTACAAAATTCGAAAATGGTCCCAAATTTTTTCTAAGACTTGTAGAATTCTTCCTACATTATTTCTAACCCTTACATAATTTTTCTCACTTCCAATTGCTTAGAACGAAAGTCTTAGTGTAAGGTTTCTTGATTTTCACTTGATTCCAATTTGATTCAAGCATGAAATCAACCTCTATTCAACATTTGAAAACCTCTAAAATTAAACCCCTAACTCAATTTCATCAAATCACAAACTTTCCATAATCTAGGGTTTAGGCCGAAAATCATTTGAGCATTTCTAGGTGTTTTGATCATCATACAAGCTTGGAAATGATTCTACAACATCAATAACTTCAAAATCCATCATCAATACATAAAACCCTAACATGAACATAAACCTTAAAATTTGAGAATTTGACATTCAAGCAATATTAGCATGCAATAATGCTACCAAATGATAAAAAAATTCGAATAGAACAATTTTTTATTTCACGTCTTAATCCAAAAACCAAAGGCAATTGTTCAAAAATGAAAAATAAATTTCCTCTCACCTAGGGTTGAAGCACTCATCCATGGCTAATTTTGAAGAAGCATTTCCATGAAATTTATAGTTAATTTCATGTATATTTGCGATTTATTAAGCTTAAATGAATTAAAAATTCATTTAATGAGAAATGACAATTTTAACATTAATGAAACTTGATAATTACATTCATACCTTGATATATAACAATTATCATCTTCCAAAGTCAAAGATGAACAAATTATTTTACCCTTTTACAACTTTGCCCATGCATTTTACCAAAAATTTCAATCTTGCCATTTTCATCAAACGATTCAAATTGAACATGAAAATAATTTCTCAAATCCAATTATTCATATTATTTTCCATCATTTTAAAATGTGGAAATAATATTTCCAAGCTTAATTTAATATCCTTCAAATTTTATCAGAATTTGTATTCGATCCGATTTATCAAATTTTACCGAAATTTATAGCTTTTAACACAAATTTCGGATCCAAAGTCTAATTCTCACCAAAACGTCATTCTTGGGGGTGAACTATTCATTAAGGGGTCAAATACATAACTTTTTAAAGTTACACTTTTGGTCCCTAAACTTTTGAAAGTTACTCTTTTGGTCCTTAAACTTTTCCAAACTTTATACTTTAGCTATTAATTTTTTCAAAATTTGCATTTTGATCACTAATCAAAATTTTGGGTATTACACCCTAATTCTTAAATTTTTGGATCTGCCACTTAATATTGGTAAGAGTTAAATCATCCAACCTTAAAAATATACATTATTAATGATTAAAAAAATAATTATTAGATTGGTCAATTTTCTTTTATATTTGTAAAATTTTACTCACTAAATTTAAAAAAAAATATATGTTTTAATCACTTACGTTAGAATTTATTAAATTTTGGTCACTTACGTTATCGATCACTTCATTTTAGTTATTGAATCATTAACTTCTATTAGTTTTATTACGTGACATGTTACCTTGAACTTTAGATATAATACTAACTTGATCCTAAATTGTAGACAGAATACTAATTTGACTCTAAACTTCATATAGAATGCTACTTTAACCCTAAACATTAGATAAAATATCATTTTGACTCATAAATTCGACCAAAGTCTCCTGTCGTATTTGCCATTAATCATTGTCGGTTTCGGTTATTGTCAGTCAACATTGACCACCATCCTCGTTGACTGTTAGACTCCAAAATCTATAGTTCACTAATTTTGACATTCTGAATACAAATCTAGTGCCCATTACACCAAAAAATATCTGGAATTCAACAAATCTAGCTTAGAACCCTTCGAATTCCTTTAAAATTAAACCATGAAAATAAATTTACTATTAATATTCCTTTAAAAATAAACACTAAAAACCTAAATCTTTATCGTAATGAAATATATACAAATTTTGTTTATAATATTATTATATTATTTTTATGTTTATCATATTAATTGTATTTTTTAATATTTATAAATTTTTGTTATTCCAGATCTTTAATATTTTAAAAATATTAAAAATTTATGATTAATATTATAAATATTAATATAATAAACAAAAAATTTAATATAATAAAATTCTTATGATTTGAATATATTTTAAGAATAGTTTATTTATACTAGTATCTACCGTATATAAGACTCAGTAGAAACATGTAAAAAGTATATAAATGAGCCAAAGCATGTCATATGCAAACCCCCAAAGCCAAAGTGTCTTCCATGGATGAGTTGCAGCAGACGTCGGGAGTTAATGGCACCTCCACGAATGGTGACTCTGAATCACAACCACACAAGTTACGATCCCGACGTAATCGTGGTGGTTGGCTCGCCTGTTTCTTTATTTCAGGTTTTTATTTCTCTCTTTTTGTTTCTCTCTCTTTCAGACATGTTGTAAACCATGTTTTAATGGATTCGTTTCACCAGCAACTTTGACAGGAATGATGATAGCTGGTTGGGGATGGGTGGCGAATTTGATCGTGTATTTGGTGGGGGTGTTCAATGTTAAGAGCATTGACGCCACTCAGGCAGCCAACGTGATCAACGGTTCCACCAATCTGATCCCTATTCTTGGAGCTGTTTTGGCCGACTCGTTCCTTGGTTCTTTCCGTGTCGTTTCAGTTTCTATACTTTCCTCTTTACTGGTTGGTATATACATATTCTCCTCTTAACTCCCATATCAGTAAATTCCATCTCTAATGTCCACTTCTTTTAAAACCTCTCCTAGGGAATAATAATTCTGACCTTAACAGCAACACTTAGTTACCTGAGGCCACACTGTGAAACCGGTTCAAGCGTGTGCCATGCTCCATCCAAGCTCCACTTAGCTGTTCTATATTCGGCTATTACCTTGGCTGCAATAGGCTTCGGGATGGTTCGTTTTGCAATAGGAACATTGGGAGCCCATCAATTTGACAATCCTAAAGATCAAGCAAGTTTCTTCAACTGGTTCATCTTTACCATGTTTGCAGCCGGTGTTGTTGGTTCCGTAGGAATCGTCTATATTGAGGATAGTATTAGTTGGGGACTGGGATTTGGAATTTGTGCTGCAATTAATTTTGTGTGTTTGGTTATTTTCTTGGTGGGAAATCGTTTCTACCGCCATGATAAGCCTCAAGGAAGCCCCTACACGAGCTTGGCTCGTGTGATTGTTGCTGCAACACGAAAGAGAAAACTCTTGGTTTCGTCTGAAAGCAAGGATTATCACCATGAGATTAATGATGGAGAAAACAAAGACATTGCTACAATGCCTAAACGGAGCTTCAGGTATAAGCACATATATAAATTGCAGTACGTTTCATGTCTTTTTAATAAAATCATTTGCGTACCAAAAGAAATCTCAATTGCATGCAGGTTCTTGAACCATGCAGCAATCAAAACTGAAGGAGACATTAATTCAGATGGATCGATAGCCAAGCCATGGAGATTATGCTCTGTTCAACAAGTTGAAGACTTGAAAACTCTCATTAGAATTTTCCCAGTATTTGCGAGCACTGTATTATTATGTACCCCTCTTGCAGTTCAAACCAACACGGCCGTTCTCCAAGCTATAGCAATGGATCGTCACCTCGGCTCCAATTTCAAGATCCCCGCCGGTTCAATCTCGATCGTGGGTTTAATCTCCTCGGCCGCCTTCATCGCCCTGTTAGATCGGCTTCTATATCCCAACTTGAAGAACCTGACCGGCCGATGGTTAACACCCTTACAAAAAATCGGAACAGGCCACGTTTTCAACACCCTAAGCTTGGTAATCGCCGCCGTGGTGGAGTCAAAGAGGCTAAAAACAGCCCGCGATAACCACCTGCAGGGCCAGCAGGGCGGTGCCGTGGTGCCAATGCTAGCGTTATGGCTGTTTCCGCAACTCATCGTAGTGGGCATGGGAGAAGCTTTCCATTATCCGGGGAACGTGTCATTGTACTATCAAGAATTCCCGGTTTCCATGAAAAGCGCGGCCACTTCCATGATTTCCATTGCTATTGGCATCGCTTTCTATGTGAGCGCAGCGTTGGTTAGTCTGTTAAGAAACGTCACCGGATGGTTACCCAATGATATTAACCAAGGAAGATTAGACAATGTTTACTGGACGTTCGTGCTGTTGGGCTTTCTTAATTTCTGTTATTTTTTACTGTGTGCTAAGTTTTACAGGTATCAAAATCTCCAACAATAAGGGTTTACTGAATAATAAATTTTAATGAAATATTAAATGTCTCTATAAATGATATGTGCGCGTGACAACATTAATATATTTATAAAGGTAAATGACCACGTAATTAAGGTTTGGATTACAAAATGATCACTATTTTCAAAATTATGGCAGTTTAATCACTAAATAATTTAAATGGATTCAAAATGACCACTAGTTGTTAGAAACGAAACGGCGAATCTGACATGGATTTATCTGCAATTATTCCACACTGGTTTAATAAACCTCCACATCAGAATACCACATAAACAAAATGAAAAAAAAATCACGTGGAAATATTTGGGCATTTAAAGGAACCTTAGATTTTTCTTCTTAGTATTTTCCCCATTCTTTCTTATCATTTTGTGGAAAGGAAGAAAATCTAGAGGGGTTGTAGACGACAATGGATGCAGATTTGGCTCGGATGTGCTTTTATAGAGCTCGTTCTACGCTAACAACAGGTTGGACTGATTAAAATCTAGGTAGGAGGTTTTGGGGTTATGACAAATATAGAAAATGGGTAAGATGTTGTAATTTTTTTGCTGGTATGATCCACCAGTGAACCCTAGATCAAAAGTGGTTATTGTTGGTCTTCTTAGAAGGGTTGCTTCTATGGAGAAAGTAAAAAACAATTCTTGTTATTTTTCTTCTTGGTATTATGCTTTTGTTGGGTTTCATTTTAGGAACAATCTTTTACTAATATGCTGAAAATGTGATGGATGTTGCTTAAGATATAAAGTGCCAAAAATTTTCTTTTTCAAATATGATGTTTGTTATCTAGGTTTTTGTAATTTGAAGGGTGATGTGTTTGTTGTTATGTCACCAATTTTTGTAATATACTTAATCCGAAATATGTAATGAAAAAAAACTTTTCATATTAAGTTGTGAATTAAATAAGAATATGAAATACTTGAAGAAGGTGAAGTATTAATGTCAGTAAACAAGAATATAAATTAAGGAAGATAAAGAAGACAAAAAAACTTCATATCATAAATCCCTTAAATTTGGAATGTAATCCATACATCACATAATGTTTGACTAATACATAATCACATATTTAACTTTGGAATATAATTCATACATCACATATAGTATGTGAAACATCAAAATAGTGACCCACTAAAGTAAGTCAAACAAAAACTTGTGATATTTCTTATCACGAGAGTATGATCATGTTAGAGTTTGGTCAATACAAAAAAAACTTTGCCTAATATTGGTGTTAACTGAATCAATGATGGTCAATCCTTGGAGATGATTGGGTGGCACAACTCTCCTGACTCATATGTATAGAAGGGATGGACATCAATCTAACAACATAGCCTTGTGAAGGTTGAGTTGTTGTTAGAGTTAGCCTTGGGGAAATTCTATCTCCACTTGTTGTTGGGGTGGCTCTAGCTTGATTTGTTGTTGGGATGGTTATAGCTTTTCTAATCTATACCAATCAGCCAACATAACAAGACATTCAACCAAGCAGGCAAAAATAACAAGACATTCTTCAAGCAAATTAAAATGTATAATAACATTTACTGGAAGTTTTGGAGCTCTGGTATTACCAAGAACCTTTCCTTTACATGTTCGAGTATTATGTCTACTTCAATTTTTTACAAGAAAGTTTGACACCCTTCTTGGACACCCTACCAAGTACAGGAACTGGTTCATCAACCTCTCTTTTCCTCTTTTTGTGTGGTCTTCCTGGGGACCTTCTAAAGACAGATGGCATGATAGGCTCCAATGTTTTTTAGGAGTTCATTGTTTCTCACCCCTCACTGAATTGATCAAATAAGAATAATTTTAGGACACAAAAGTTACCAAAAAATAATTTTTGTTTTTAAATTCACTGATACAATTGTGTTCACCTTTCAATGACATAATCTTCCAAGTACTTGTTTTGGGATCTTCACATTTCATTGGATATGCCCGTAGAACCCATGGACACCCATTCTTACATGTTACTTAAATCCTATTATTATCATTTCTCCTCAACTTGACATTGTACCTATTTTTTTATGCTATAGGTCTTAACTGCATCTTTCAACATTGTCTTATTTGCAAATATCAAACCAACTTTCAATATAGGATTAGACATGTCAACAGAACTGTTAAATTCAAGAAACCTATTTTTCTTTTACCATCATCTGAATCCCATTCATCTGCACTGTATAATAAATCGTATTGTTCACTGTCATAAGATTTATTTTCACTTTCCACCTCTATATCAGACTGCCTAACCCAATATTATCAGTGTATCCTTCATCTTCTGAACTCAGAAACTCATTTTCACTGTCATAAAACGTAGATACATCAATGGATGACTCAACAACATAATCCTCATCGGAAAACTAAACCCTATATTTTCAGCCATAGCACTAATTCCAAACATTAACATTGTGTCAACATCTAAATTATCAAAATAATCCACCAATTTTCCAGTAAAAGTTATCCTAAGTTTTCTAACAATAAAACCACCATGGTGTATCACTATACTATAATTCTCTAAATCTATACATGTTAATAGAGATAAATAAAAAATATTTATTAATTGTTCAAAAAAACCTATTATATTTTAGAAATTGTTATTGTTGAAAAATAACAAAAAAACAGACCCCATTGATAGATATATCAACAACAAACACAAAGAAAAAGACTCCACCAATATTTTCAATTCCATACAACAACAACAAAGACACGTACAAACCAATCAAACAACCATTATTTTATTGTTGAACAATAACCAAGGACCACAAACTTTATCAATGTATCTATAATTAAGGACCACAAACATTAAATATCAACAACCTCTGGACACCATAACCATTGAATATCAAAAGCAATGTCTACTTTCTTATCTTGTGTTCGTTCAGAACAAAACAAAGTTATATATATTTTTTAAAACTTTTTCATAACAATAAAAAGTTGGAGATTTTTTAATCTTTTTTACAACAAACAAATTCTTACTTTCCACATATATATAGTTAACAAGCAGTTTCCATTACAAACGCTTATTAACCTAAAATTGACACATTAACCTAATCCTAATTTTATCCCTAATCTCACATTATTATGCCTAAACTCCAAAATAAAGAAATCATAGAACGAAAAGAAGAAGAACAAATCATAGAACGAAAATAAGAAAAATACTTACTGCATTTCAGACCAGGTTTTCTCTTTTCAAGATGAAATCAAATCTACTCATTTTCAAACACTCTCCAGAGATTTCTCCCTCTTCTTCCCGATGAAACGTTGATTTTTATTGAAATGGAGTTTAATGGTCGAGTAATTTTTAGGGATTTTTATCCTTTTTCAGTTATAAAATTATTTTAAATGTATAGATGGATTTGTCGTTTGTAATAAATGGCCACGTCAGATTCACCATTTCTTTTCTAACGGCTAGTGGTCATTTTGAATCCATTTAATTGTTCAGTGGTTAAACTGCCACAATTTTAAAAATAATGATCATTTTGCGACCCAGACCTTAATTCCATGGTCATTTATGTAGTTTTGTAGTTTACCCTATTTTTAACTATGATAATTCGGTGACCGTAACCATCAAAATTTCTTAAGAAAGTTTGGGGGAAAAAAGAAAAGAGATTTTTTTCAATTACTACTAATAGAAGTGGGCGTGAGAAATACTATTTTATCAAAATGAAAGTGAAGGAATAAAGGCAATCCATGCATTGTCGTGAAGAAATGTTGTGCGGATAGGAAGATAGAAACTGTAATGTGATGAGTCTGGTTTTGACAGCAAAATTAGCTCTTTTGAGACCTCCGAGTCCACCATGTGAGGAGTCTGGTTCAAGCATGTGTCAAACTCTGAAAAAACTACAATATGGGTTCCTGTATTCAAGTATATCGATGGCGTTTGCAGGGTTAGGAGGAAGTAAATATACACTATCAACCATGTGAGTAAATCAACTTGATCAGCCTAAACATATAGAAACTTTCTTCAATTGGTTCTTTTTCATTGTTGCTGCTGGATCCATGATAGGTTTTACTGCAATTGTCTCTGTGGAAACCATTAGCTGGACTCTTGGTTTTGCTATATGTTTCATTACTAGCTCATTTCTTTAGTCATTTTCTTGGCTCAATAACGATTCTTCGACCTGACGAGCCTTGCGGAAACCCTTTTATGAGTCTGTTTCGAGTTGTCGTCATTACTCTAAGGAAAAGGAAGGTTGCTCTGTCTCTGTCTTCAGGAAGCCAAGATTATTACCATGAACAGTGTGGAACAAACATGGCAACGTTAGCAAGAGCAAAATGGAGTTTCAAGTAAAAACAATTTTAATTCCAAATTTACATCATTATTCATTGCCAATGAATCATTAAAGCATTTTCTGTGATCCCTCCAAGGTGAAACTTGGGGTCTTATGAACAAAGAATCCATGGCTTAGACTCGAGCAAATGCCCTAAGAATAGCATTTAACAAGTATGAAATTCGAATCAAGTTGACATGTATTCTCTCTTAACGTAGCTTTTTGAACCTAGCCGCTATAATAATTGAAGGAGACATTAATTCAGATGGATCAGTAGCAAGACCGTGGAAGCTATGCAGTTTACAAGTAGAAGATCTCAAAAATCTAATAAGACTTTGGCCACTATGGTCAAGTAATGTATTTCTTCAAACCCCAATAGAAATTCAATCCACCATAACAATTGTCCAAGCTCTATCAATAGATCGTCAAGTTGGTCCCAATTTCAAGATGCCTACAGCTTCAATTATTGTCGTGGATCAAGTGTCCTCGTCAATCTTCGTAGCCCTCTTCGATCGTGTCTTATTTCTAGCATGGCTTCTGTAGTCATCGCCATTACTTTCTATATCGGTACGGCTCTGGTTGGTCTGATCAGGAGATCTACAATACGGTTTTGTTGGGGGGAAAACCAAACAACGGAGACAAAGGAGAAGCACAATCGGTGTTCCTTCTCTCCCAATAACGCCTGTCGATAATTATGACAAACACAATAGCACTAAATATGGTTTTAGAACAGTCTCAAGAGAACTTACCTTCTTAAACGACGAGGATCCTGGTGGAAGCCAGGAGG